TTCCAGAATTCCTTCTCTATAAACTGCTGTCAGCCCACCACAATCCCACCACACATCCACAGAGTTTGTCCAAAGCCTCCGAAAATCAAGTGCTGCAACTCATCAAGAGAACTGTCATTTCACCACTGCACCCCGTTTGCCAATGACTTCCCACCATCCGTGCTCACAGGAGTTCCAGAACTGTCATGCAAATGTAACCCAGTCACCTGCACAAAGGACAGCACACAGAGACAGCTTTAACTGTTTCTCTCACGTATCCCTGAATCTCTAAAATTCACTTTGCTCAATAGTAGAAAACCATGGATTTGCTGAAAGCAAGGTAGGCATGGCTACAGGCCAGCGTGAAGGTATAAATGTGAGCGCACCCCGTCTCCACAGAAAACTTCAAACAAGACGTAGTGGAGCTGAGACAGCAGCAGAGAGTGAGAGACACTGGCCTAGGGCCCACAACTGGGTGGTGGCCTTCAAAAAGGTGTGGCAGTGGCTCTGACTTTTGTAAATAGGACTCACAAGGCAAGAGTGGACAGGCTTCTAGCACCAAGTCTGTGGTGTGAGGGTCCCTGGACACCCCATTGGGCCCAGCCAGCCTCCGCTGGACCTGAGGGCTTCAGCCCCCGCTGAATGGGGACAGCTGGACATGGGGGTCCTTCAGAGCAGTGCATCCCATCTGGCTTCACAGCCTTGCAGTCTGAGACCTCCAAGATCTGCCTTAAAGAGCAAGGCTTTCTGCAGTCACACTTACTCAGGGCTTCCCTCCCTCTCCCTCGTCTGTCTGTCAGCTCACCGGTAGGGATCACACCCTTTGGGCTTTATCAGGCTTCATAAAATAGGTTTTCAATCTCGTTTTGACTTTTCTCTGTCTTGATCATTTCCTTATTTGGAGCGCCCTCCTCCACCTTTCTGACCTCAGATGATATCCTCCTAGAAACACCTTCTCTGGGAAGCTCTCTCTGGTGTCGCCTGCCACCTGATAAGAGTCACTGTCCATCTTCTCACCTCTAAGATTGCAGCCCTGCCTTAGTTACATTTTAATCCCCAGGGCCTAATGATGGGTCTGGCAAACGAAAAGTGCTTAATAAATGTTTGCAGAATAAATCCTGCATTTCTTCAAACTGGAGTTAACAAATACAGGATCAGTGCTAACTCCATTGTCATACAATGGGGTTTTTACACTCAAAGACCATCAAACTACCAATATGATTTAAGTGGCTTTTCCACGCAGGAGGTGTAATTGACACAGGAAGGCTCCTTGCTGCATATGTGAACTTATTTATGACCCTGAGTAATTGCTATGATTCAAAAAGCTTACAAGAAGTAACTTGTGAGACTTGGAGAACTTTGCTCTTATGTTTTGAAAAGCAAAAGAATTCTCCTGGGCCTGGGTTTGTTTGTTTTACTTATACCAAGCCAGAGCTAACTGCTAAGGTTTCCTTCCCAAACCCAAATACTTCATGACCTAATACCCAAGAACCACATATCTGAGCTGGCTTTTGGAAACTGCCACCTACTCCCAGACAACAGTCCACCACCCAGGCGGCCGGAAGCCCTTGTTGTTGGAAAGCAAGGACGGAAGGACACTGTGCAAGGTCAACTGATGCATGTCCTCAGCCCTCTGCATGTCACCTGCATCTGGCAGGTTCTAAGAGCAGCCAGGAGTTGAGACACAAAAGTGACACACAGCAGAGAGAAGGGAGCAAATTCTGGAATTCTTGGGTTTCTGTGCTCTCTGCATCACCTACTAAGTGTGAGAGCCTGGAGCAAATCCTCTCCCCACACCATCTCAGCTTTTAACACTGCAATGAATATTCTGAGGAGGAAGGAGACAATGCTAACGTGTGACACACACAGAGCCTACAACATAGGAGGCAAGGTCACACAGAAAGAGTTCGTTCCTTCAGGACCACCTTTGCCAGTCCACGGAGTTTCTGGGTGACAGGGAAGCTCTCTTAAGGGGACGGTGTCTAGGCAGCCTTGTGGCACACCATGCTCAAGCCCTGGGCACCTGGAGCTTGGAGTCCCCAGGGCTCTGGACCTCGAAGCCTGTTCACCTCTGCATGGAGCCACAACAAACAAGGCCCATGGCAAGCGGAAATGTCCGATGCAGCAGCCCCAGGAACAGCTGAGCACCCAGCCCACGAGAGGCGCTTGCGGGTAAGGAAAGCCAAGAACCCACACTCTCAAAACAGAGTCTCCACGGTTCTGTGGCCTGGACCCCCAGGACTGTACTGAAGAACCCTCGATAAAGGGCCTCACCTCTGCTTCTCAGTCCAGCTTCAGGCAAACAGTGGGATGCTCAGCTGAACTGGTCGACCACAGACACTGGCGGAAATTTGGTGACTGTGATCTTTGAGCCTTGATTTTTATCTCCCACCCCACAATGTCTTTTAAAAAGACTTGAATTAAATAATTTTGGTTTCTTTCCTGTTTTTTTTTTTAAATCCCACTGGTAGACTAGCAAAAAAAAAAAAAAAAAGGTAGCAGATGTACAGCACCTGGACTCCCTGTGCTTCCGGCTCACTCCGCAGGCACCAATACCCTGTGCAGTCCTGGGGCTCAAGGGACACACTCCTTCCTATGCCTGGCTTGCCAAGGTGATACCTGCCTCCGGCACCAGCCCTCCTCTTCTAAAAACACTCGGCTTGACTTCAGCAGAGGGTGGGGTGAGATTTTTGTCAAGCTGAGTTTAAGGACAGTGACTTTATGCCATTGTCTCAGGATAAAGGAAATGGGCCAACTTCCCATGAAGCTGCTCATGCTCAGAGTCACAGATCTCAAAGGCAAGGCATGTGGGTGTCCACACTCGTGCCTGTGTGTGCACTCGTGTGTGCATTACACAAGGGAGGAAAGTCAGAAAGCCAATAGGAGGTGATAAAGAAGAGAAACAAAATTTGAAGGGCTGCAAGAGCTGAGAAGTTATCCTGTTCCCAGAGAAGTAAACTCTGTAACAATATCAAAGTTAACAAGTATGCCAGTAAAATGCTTTTATTATTTGCCTTACCTGAACCTAGCCAGTATTTCATTTAATTGCTTTTCTTATTTTCTTGGGTCATAATTATAAGGCTAACTTTTCAAATAAAATAAAATTGTTCCTCCACTCAATGCAGACTGGTCACAGAGCAGGTTAAAGCACATTCCCCAAGCCCCTGCCACCATCTCCGGTGCAGTGCATCAAGCTGGGTTGGGAAGTGGCGCCTCTCCTGGGCCTTGGACTCATGACTGAGACAAGTCACTGGAGATGGCAGGTGGGCGAGCCTCCCTCGGCTTCAGACTCCCGGCTTAGTACGTGAATATGCCTGAGTAGTTGACAGGTGTGTATGTGCATGCTTGTGTGTCCCTGTGTGTGATGAGGTCTGGGAGTGAGTGAAGCATGTGTAAGACAAACCAGCAACTAGTTTCAGTATGCTCGATGGTGAGTGCTACTCTTCAGCTGGTCACTAACCAATGTCCACCAATGGGCAAGAGCTCCCAGCAAGGGTGAGATCAAAGTTATGGGAAGTCCTTTACTGCATAAGATAAGAACTAAAAACAAACATCCCTTTCACAGCTCAGTATTATCTTCTGACACCCAACATGCCCGAAACCCTCTTACACTCACTAGGCTATAAAATGGGCTAATAAAATCTGTAAAGATGAGAAAAGCCTTCTCATGTTAGCAGCATGCAGCTCAAGCGTTAAAAATTACTTACCACCACATGCACAGCTGTGTGTGTTTTAAAGCAATGTTTGGCCACTTTGAAATCTCTGACTTTCCCTACTTCACTCTGTATCTCAGAAGGAGACTTTTATAAATTATGTTTTTCCAAAGCCATGTATCCTCTGGCTTTGGGTTAAATCTGAGCAGCACTGGCAAGGGTATGTCCCCTCCTCTCCTGGGCACTGGAAGTATGGCTGGCAGCCACCCCGCGGGAAACGGCTGCCTCTGTGGTCCCACTCCTGCTGGGGAGCTCCCGGACACCCAGCTCTCATGCTGACAGGTGTAGCGGCACTGCTTCCCTGTGCCTCCAGCCTTCCTTCCCAGGCCGGGCTGTGGACTCCCTCCACTGAACTACTTGGCACGGGCTCTGCCTCCCTGTCTGGAAGATGGCACTGTCCAGGGCCTTCAGGCTCCTGAGAATAGACATCATGTTTGGGGGCACACAAGCTCCTTTACTGTAAACTCATTCTCCCCTACTGGCCAGGAGGGGCTCTCAAACGGACATCTGGTTGACCAGCTAGTACTGCTTACACTAGGTGTGTGTGGGAGTGTAAGGACCACTGGACAGGGAGACTAGATCTCCCTCACAGTGACCTATGCCAAGTGCCTTGAGCTGCACAAGTTTGAATTTGTTCATGTCACAGGAGCAGGTGTTCATTCCTGTCCTGCTGACTACTTACATGGCTCCAACAGGGAAGATGTGGAATCACATTTTATAAACTCAAAATAGTGTGGCAAACCTAATGTGTCACGACTATCACATGAGACATAGCTGACTTGACGGAAGAGAAAATGCTTTGCCCCACCTTAGCCTTGCTTCGATTTCATGGCCTGAAGTATGACAAATGCAGACTCTGAAGAAGTGCCTAGACTCTGTCCTGTGCAGACCCTCACTGTGTCAGGCTAGGGGCTCCCACTGACATTTCAACAACATGCCAGCGTAATGAAGCCCTCAAGTGGAGACCTCCACTGTGACTGCAGTGGTTAAGCTTCTCTGTCAACTTGAATAGCATGGGAACTGTCAACGGGCTTAGCAGAGCACACTTCTCACTATGTCTGGGTGGGTTCCAGCACTGTCACCTGGAGGCCTGTATGTGGTCCCTGGCACTGTTTTCCTCTCTGTTTCCTACACACCATGAACTGAATATCCATACTCCTCTATACCCTCCAGCCATGACATCCCTTCCTTGGACCCAGCTGACCATGGACCAGGTCGCCTTAACTGTGAGCCAAATTACACCTCTACTCTTTTAAACTGCGAGTGTTGGGTATTTTGTGTATCGCCAGGAAAAGCAGTACAACTCACCAATGTCAAGGACTCTCTGCTTGGCTGTGTGCTGCCGTGAGTGCCAGTACTTCCAGTATTTCAGCTGCTCGTCCCGGTTTTTGTCTTCACTGAAGACCACCATCACCACACTCTGCAAAGGGGAGAACAGGGTGCTTTATTCTCTGCTTAGGACCTACAGAACAACTTCCAGAACCACCTGACCATGGTCACATGGCCACATGGCCAAGTGGTTCTGGAAGTTGTTCTGCAGGTAAATTATCCTAAGGTAGCTTTTCTTGCTTAAAGAAAGCCTAGAAGAGCTCAGCTGTATGGTTTACTTTGTATTAAAACGGTGGAGAAATGGAGGGGAGGTCATTATTTGGAAATGGAAACAGCAGAGAGAAAAAGAGAATCCTGTGTCAACTTTATCACAAGGACAAAAGTAATCAGATGACTCATTCATCCCCAAATTTACTGTTTTGCAAAGTCATCCAAAACATCAAAAATATTTTTTGCATATTGAAAATAAGCATGCTTTTGAAATTTTTAAATAAAGAATGTAGTACCATTTGTAAGAAAACAAACATCTGCTCTTGGGCTAATTAAAAACCTCAAGCTAGCATAGGGGAGGAAACAAAAGAAATGCTAAAGAAATGAGGAAAAGGGTAAAGGATAAGTTCATATGAAAAAGATTTAAGCTTCAGATACTGTGCATGCTAAAAGTACAAAGACAGGGGCTGGGGATTTAGCTCAGCAGCACAAGCACCTGCCTTGCAAGCAGGTGGTCGTGAGTTTGAACCCCAGGACTGATTAAAAAAAAAGTGCAAAGATAACTATATTATCGATTTAAATATAATATGGATATAAAAATGAGCTTGAGAAACTAATTCTGTTTTGTACCAATAATAATCCACAACCTCTAAGGCCAAGGACTTGGCTCAGTGGTGTAAGTACCTGCTTGGTAAACACAAGGTCCTAAGTTCGATCTCCAGTACCCAAAAAAAAAAAGGGAATCTGTAGCCTCTTTGGTTCTAAACTGCCAACAGCTTCATTAAATGAAATACATGCAAACTCACTCTCATTTATGCAGTGCAGGTACCAAAAGCAAGCAAAGAAGTCTTCAGTTACAGTATCAGGAATACCCCTCTCATTTCAACACAGCCCTCACCCACTCTCATTCCTGAAGACTTTCTCCTCTGAAGCAATTACACATCTGCAGTCATTTGCTTATTTAGTTATGAAGCCAGTGGCAGTGTCCTCCTGTTGACTCAGCTCAACAAGGAATAAGATCCACCATTCAGCACGGCGACCCTGTAGCCTAAGGAATAACAGCAAATTCATGCAGGTGGCTGACTCTGAATTTAAAACCTAGCTCCTTCCTCAAACTACTACGTATCAGTAGTTTTTATACACGAAAGCAGATGTTGGTTAGAAGAGCACCTATAGGAAAGTACGCCCGTGTTTCTGGAATGTGGAAACAGCAGGTCTCCAAGGACATGGGTGAGTGGCAAGGAAGGGAGCCAGCTTCCGCAGGCGAGGCTCGAGCTGAGCCGGCTCGTCACTCTTCCCTTACCTCCTGCCTCAAACCTTCCCACTCAGATGAAAAGCATACAGGTGGCTTGTGTTTATTTCTACCCCAAATAAAATGACATTTTTTTTTAATTTAAGAGAGTTGGGTTCAGGAGCCCAATGGCCTGGAATACATATCACAGATTCCTATAACCTTGGCCACTGGCGAGCTTCTGAAAACCCAAGCTCCCTGATCACTAACAACATAATGACACAGTGCTTTTTATGTAGGCTACTGTTAGTTGCAGTTAATGACAAGCTGGGCAGAGTCTAACACGGGGCCTGCACACTGCAGGGTTCCATCAGCACGGTTTGTTATGCTTACAGCATAACACAGCTATAAACCCCTGCAGTTGCCATGGTCCATCGTCTTCTCTGGTTCCACCACAGGTTGGGACATACTAATCCTGAGTCACAGCCGCCTAGCGCCTCTCAACCCACAGTGGCTCAGGCTCAAGCAAAGACTTGGCTCCACCTGTGCTGGGGCAAACTCAAGGTCCCACAGCACCCACTGCAGAGGGTGCAATGCAAAGGAGCCATGGGGAAAACAAGGTGGACTGGGCACTTTGATGATGGCTGCATGAAGCATTTTATAACTGGCCAGAAGGGGCCATTTTACAGTGGACCAGGAAAATCCTTCAAGCTCTTCTCAGAGCTCTGCTATAATTCTACTTCTCGGTAGAGAGGGATTTGAGTCCCCGCCCTTCTTGGCAGTGTGGAGCAGGCCAGAAACTGGCAGGCTTCCAGATCATGAGCTGGGCTCCAGTTTCATCTCCCACCAACAGGAATAATGCTCAGGTAGGTGCAAATTCCTCCAAGTGACTCCTGGTGGGATCATGCCTTATCCCTTGAGTCCGGAATATGTCTTGGGCTGCAGAAAACTTTTAAACAAATCTGCATAAGGACAGGTTCTGACCGGATGGCTTTCTCCTGTACACAGTGCACTAGCTCCTTCTTGACCACAAGAGGAACTGATGTGCAGCTATTATGTGAAAACTTAGCAGTGAAAATGACAACTGTGTAGCCAGTAGGTAGTGAATGAAACAAAGAAAATTCCTTGGATACAGTTGGAAGGCATGCTCAACCTCGCTCTTGCCCTGGGGTTTATTGGTTACCCATTAAGACGATAAACTACAAGCCAATGCGTCGTTTTGCTCCAACTCTCGGACATTCATTCTAGAGTTACTTATTTTGGAATTTTCTCCCATGCCACGCCACAAGGCTGAGAGACACCGATTCCATGCACCGGATCCTATGCTACTTTACTCTGCGAACACAGCCGTACCCTGACTTTGCTGATGGGGTGTCGGAAGCACTTGTTGTCACCGGTTTCACTGAGTGTGATGGCATAGAATTGTCCTTTGTTGAGGTAGGTCATGGGGCCCTCCCCCTGCTTCTGGCGGAGAGATTTGGTGGCTTCCAGGGTATACTGAAATGTGCCACTGTGAACAGAAAACAAACAGCAGTCAAATTTACTCCCTTGGATATTTCTGCCTTCCTGAGCTGTGCACATCAATGGCATTGTGAACGAATATTAACCAGTGTTTACAGTATTTTAGAGACATAACAAAGCAGCTGGCAAAGGAGATGAGGACAGACCAAAGGTCATCGCTGGTACAATGCATACAGCATTTCTAATGGTGGCCCATAAACCAGATGGTTTGGGAGGGCAGAAAGGTCATGAGGGGACACAGCAGCGCCACCAGTACATCTGGCCAGTCATACGGGTTTGTGAAGAGTATGCCGGTGGGTCTCAGCGGCATTCACATGTGGCCTGAAGCTTAGGAACTGACAGGCTCTGCCAGACGTGTGGATGCCTCTCTCCTGGTCAGGATACCTGACCTTTCTTCTTCTTTAACTGAAAATCCAAAACTGTGCTGAGAATCTAGGTCCCCAACAGGGAGGGTTGTTTAAATTTGTTCATTTGTTTTTGCCTTTTGTGTCTGACTTTTTTCACACTCGCAGAACTCAGGACCTAGCTGCTATAAATTGGATTTGCAACTGATGGGGGGGGGGCTGCAGCTCACTGCTTGTTTTCATAAATAAAAGCTTTACTGGCACACAGCTGCAGTCCTCTGTAGATGCATGTGGCTGCTTCTCCACTGTATCAGGAGGGTTTGGTGGTTGTCATAGAGATTGCCAAATGCTCAGATAGAGACTGTAAAATGCTCAGTATCCAGCTCATTACAGGAAAAGTTTATAGACTCTTGATCAAAATAGTTTCTAATATTTTAAAAATATGACATGAGTCACAAAACAGAAACACAGAACATTCCCAGCCTTGAATATTAACTTTAAAATGAGCACAATAGGCATGAACCACAATTTTTTTTTTGTCTTTGAGGTTTTTGTTTTTTCATTCTCTTATTTTCACAGTCTTCTTTTGTTTAATACATTTGTTCAGGAAAACTTATTTCTATAGATATGATCAAAATATATTACAATCAAAATATATTATGCACACTGAAGCCAAAAAGGAAAAACAGAAAAAGTGAAACCGGGAAGGGAAAGGAGCTGAGGAGGATGCGAATGATCAAATATGTTACGTGAACCCAAAAATCTGCCAGATAAAACCCATTAGTCTATAAAACCAGCTGCACCATAAGAAGTTTTTAAAAAAGAAAGAAAGTCTTATTCCTGCCAGTGTGGGTTGGCCAGGGGAGCTCTCACAACAAGCACTGTCCTTCCTGAGCTGTCGGACCTGCCACCAAGTTTGGATTTTCAGCTTTTTCGATCCACCATCTTCAGAAGGCCAGCAGCAAAGATGACTCCACACTTGGTCTCTTAAAACAGCCTCCTGACAGGAAGGAAATGGGCTCTGGTGTCCCATGGCAGGTACTTTTTAACTTTATAATAATAAATTATTTTGAGGGATGAACTGTTCCTCCTTCATAAAAATCTGAGGTTTAATCTGATTAATCAAATTCCACAAAAGGTATCTCAGAAGACAGAATATAAATAATGACAAAACCAACTCTAGTGTTATTTTGCCCCCCAAAAAACAATTCTGATGCTAAATGATAAAATTTTACATCGGGGCAGGATATTAAGAATCACGTAGGACAGCAGCTTGTACTTCCTTTATATCACAGACTCTAGCGTGAGGCAAGCTGGAGACGCCTTTCTCAGGACAGCACGTGTGAACACAAATGACGTTCTGGTGGCGCTGCTGAGTCCCCTAAGCCTGCCTGGACCTCAGGCTCAGAGCACAGGGTTCCGCCACCCTCCTTGTGTCCGCCCAGCATGCTCTAAGAGCTGCGCTGCTGTCAGACTGTGATCCTGGGGAAGCCGCCCCGGGACTGGCGCGTCACGCTGTTCTCGCTGGCCCAACCTGAACGGCTGGAGCTGTAGCGCTGAGCTCGCTGTGCATTCCCACTTTTTCTGTTTTATTTTTTATAATAGAATTTTGTTGTTGTTGTTGTTGTTTACCAGTTCACACTTGCAGTACCTGTTTATACTCCTTGTGAGGCTGTGGTACAGCTCTGTAACACATTTCTTTCATGCCCCTGCTTCCCCTCGGTTACCCTCCTTCCATTTCCCCTTGAGAAAGATCTCTGCCCCTGCTTCCTATCCTTTTTTACGCTCTGCTTACACTTTGGGTTTCTCCACCAGGAAAACCCATGTAATTCCCAAGCGTGTGTATCCGATTATTTCACATAATAGCTGGGGATTTAGCTCAGTGGCGTGAGTGCTTGCCTGGCAAGTGTGAGGTCATGAGTTTGATCGCTGGTACCAAAAAGAAAAAAAAAAAAAAAAGAATATATCTATTTCACATAGCATTATGAGCGCAAAGCCCATCCATTTTCCTGCAAATGCCTCAAGTCTATCCTTCTTTCTGGCACAGCAGTACTCGCTGTGTGTAAACACCGCCTCTTCTATTCTGTCCCCACTTTAGAGGGGGGCTGGGCCAAAACTGGAGATAAGAAGTAGAAGTTCATTTGCAGAGAGAAAAGAATTGAAGGCAAAGGAAAGCAGATTTTGTAAAATGAAAGTACACAAAGAAAAAGGAGATAACAAATGTTCTAAAGTCTATCTTTTTAATTCCAGGGTTCTCAGTGAAAATGAGTCTCCCAGAACCCACCTTGATGTCTGGTCGTACATGTACTCCTCAGCCCCAACGGACGCACTCCGAAATTTCTGCAAGATTCAAGTCATTGAATTAAAACCAACAGCTGGGCCCACGCCCCCATCCTTTGCCATCTATCCTGCTCCTCCCCCTCCTTAACAAGGAACACTCTATCTTTTTGGCACTGTGTTTTCAACTAATGAAAATGGTTTCTACTTGTATGCAGAACTCACACATCTGATCCACCCTGAGAAGCATACTCCACTCAGAGCACATCCTGGCTCTGTGCATCATTCCCACACCACAGTCTACAGTCCTAGATGGGGTTTCCTCAAACACAGGACAATCTCGCCATTTTCTGTGGTCTCTTAACATTTACTCCAAATGGAACACATTTTGCATGAATTACACAGAGGCCACATGGCATAGCATAAGCAAGACAGAAGAGCAGCTAGAAGCACAGTTCAAAAAAGCAAGACTGCCTAGGGCAGCGGCGGTGAGCCGCACTTGTGCCACAGCAGCCTACTCACTATCATCGAAAGCTCTAAAAGGTTTGCCGTCACCGCACTGCACCAAGCGCCAGCTCTTCTCCCTGACAGCTGAGTGAAATGAAGCAAATGTGGTGTTTTCTCCATCTGTTATGCTGTGTGCCACTGACAGTGATTAGGAGTATGCAGATTAATAAAGTACTAAGAACAGTGACTGATACACATGACCACAATGTATGATTACTAAATACTAATAAGTAACAGTAATTGACCACATTATATTATAATATTTTAAGAGTAGGCCTTTGGAAGAAACTCCTAAGTTTAGTATCACACAGGAAGTACTTGGGTCCAAAGATTTTCAGTTGCATGCAAAGTACAAACAGAAGACATTTCACTACATCTTAGAACATTTTCAAAAGGAGTTGCCCCAATGCCCTTACTCTTGATCCTGAAGTGAATCAGAAGACGGGTCCTTCTATCTTTTTCGAAGAAATCACCTTCCTCCCTCTCATGTCTGTATACCAACTTCCATCCCTGGTCCAGAATTCCAAGGGCTTCTTCCTCAGACATGGTTTCCCAAGTTTTCTTCACAATTCCTACTCTCCACACTCTTTTAACATGGTTTCTATGTACATATTTATGATTCTCCTTGTCCAGTCATATTCTTTGGAATTGAGATCTTTCTGTGAAGTTCACCAAGTAAATCTTATGACACAAATCCCTCTGCACAAGTATTTGTTGACTTGAGTGAATAATCATGATGGAGAATTGTGACTTGTATTTCTTTTGCAATCAGTTAATTAGCAAAGCATCAATGGGTGTTTTCTGGAGCTTTACCCTTTGCTTTGTACCAGAAGAAATACAGAAATCATATAAATGGCACTAGCCTCAAGAAGATAAAAATGAGGACAGAGGGTAAATTCACATGAAAAGTAACAACAAAACAAACTAAAATATAGCAAAGAACTGTGTGTGAAAGTCTATGAGGAATCCCTCATCATCCATTAATTAACATTTCCTTACAAGAAAAGCACAGAATATACACTGGTAGGAAAGGAAGATAAGCAAAACTGAAGGGAGATTTAGATTTCAAAACCTGTCAGCTTCTCTCCAACTCCAAAGAAGGACATGTGTAGACTGAAAGAACTGGGCAGAGCAGTCCAGATGGAAGAAGACCAGCATGAATCAAGCCAAAATGGTGGGTATAAATGGAGCTGGTCTATGTGGCCAAAGAAGCAAGCCTGGCCTAAAAGCCTAGGTCTCCGTCGCCTGATAGTAGCCACTAACCTTATGCACTACTAGAATAGAATAAAATTAGATATTCAGTTCCCAAGCCAACTAGTCACATTTTAATACTAATTTGCCATGTGTGGCTAAAGGCTACCTCATTGGAAGGCACAAAAGAAAATTTCCATTGTTGCAAAAAGTTCTGTTCAAGAGAGATGAGTTATAGTTAGAAACCACATGGTGGAACAGGAAGCAGCATGCGCACACACACAAAGCATTTAAGAAAATGGCTCTAAGAGTCCTTTCCAAGTTGTGTTTGAGGGAATGTGTGATGACCCATCACCATGGCAAATCAGCATTAGTAACTGTGGCCATGGAGTCTGCAGCCAGAGGGAAGGGTGTCCACTATACAAGTTGGTCTATAAATTATATGATTTCACTGCCCCAGATGTAATTGGCATGATATCATGAGTGCTCAAACTCATAAAAACTGTCAACTCTGTACTGAGTTCTACAAAATTCTACACCAATGCATGAATTTTTCTTGGCATGAATTGTTAAAATAAGAATAGCTGATATATCACAGGCATGAATTTTTTTTCAAGCTAAAACTTTTTGAGTCTGTTTATTTTTTTTAATTAAGTAGACAATCTACCTAGAAAATACCACAAATCGAGACTAGGTCTCATCGAAACCTAGTGACTTGATGGGTTTCAGAGATCTAAATGAGTTACTATGAAGAATTAGTGCCAAATGCCTAGGGCCTTTCTGGCTACAGTCATGCCATGTCCATCACTCCCCGAAAACGTTGTAGTATTACTCACAAAGTAATGCAAGGCATTCACACAGCCAGGATCACTGAGCCTTACTACGATCCAGTGCAGTGCACCTGTAAGTTCTCTCCTCATCTGGACTCAGAAATTAATAGTAAAGAAGATAATGATAACATACATTTGACAGATTACCCTTAAAAGACCCAAGACAAAGGGTAATAATAAGCATATTTAAATCTTGAATATCAAGATTCCAACTTTACTTTTGAGGTACAAGAAGAAAACACCTGCTAAGAGCACCACACAAAAAAGACAATGGTTATTTAACTGTGGGGAAAACCAGATATAGCTAAACAATTCCACGCCTCTGGCAAGTCACCACTGTTTTAGGTCCTAACCCTTGTGCCTGACCCTTTCAGTAAGTACATACTGAGTATGTACTTTTCCCAGGTACTCTGCCAAGTGTAAGGGGCACTGTAGTGAACAGAAAGGGAAAAGATCCCTGCTCTCAGCAATCTTTAGGTCTAGTGGGAAATCAAGCAATCCTTCAAGCAAAACTTTTCAAACAGTATGCATGCTAAAGAAGCAAACAGCTCGAGACGGTTGACCCACTGGTGGAGGGCAAGGCTGGGGAGTGACACCCAGAGGGGACAACAACACAGCTACAAAAGTGAGACACATTCCTCTCCACCTCGAGTGACTGGACGTCCTGAGCCCCAAGTCCTGAGCAGTGATACTGAGATACCCACTTTGTGGGGAGCTGGCGGGTGAACGGCCTGAGCTGCACACCCAGGCCAGCTTCTGAGTGCCTCTGCACCTCGAAGGATCCAGTTCCAACCGTCTTCTTCCTTCTTACCACCACATAAACACGAGGAAGAATAGGTGGCAAGTGGAGAATGAAACTCTGCTAACACAACAAGACTTCCAGACACTGTCATACTTTGCCTAAAAGAAGCACTAGATTTGCACAAATTTCCTGAATGAAATCTTCTTGGGGCAAATACTTCAAACTCATTCATATAACCAACTGGCAACAAAATGCCTAAAGATCATTGTAGATCATTCAATTTAACTTTCATTAGGCTGAAACAAAATCTGCAATGAAATGATGTTTTCCAAAATCAAAAGCACAGCTCAACTGCAATCAGTGAAAATCCTTTAACCCTTACTTTCTGGTAATTTTCTCACTGATGCCAAAATAATGCCTCAAACACAATAGCTTCCTTTCCCAAGGTTCTTTATCTACAACACCCATGCAACTGATAACACACACTGACAACTGATCCCACCCATACAGGCTTCTGTGACTCATCAATTAACTACAAAAGTGTGAAAAAACACATCAGAGGCAAATCTTTGGTGAAAAAGCATTTTGCTCATAGGGGCTTGTGGAATGATACCTTCAGTTTCCTGTCTTTCCTACAGAAGCATACCTTACTACTTGGGGGACAATCATATATATGATGATATCAGAAACTACAAGATCACTTGCCTCTGATTAAAAAGTTTCATAATTATTTTAAGCAACATAGGTAGCCCCATGACAGTGAGTCAGATACATTTCTGTTCATCAGAAATGACCCAGGCTAGGTGCTGGGGATTTTGCTCAGTGGCCTAAGCACCTGCCTGGCAAGTATGAGGGTCGTGAGTTCACTCCCCGGTACCAAAAGAAAAGAAAAGAAAAGACCTAGTCTCAGAAATTCTGTTACTGTGGCACTAAGATACATGCCTAGCAAATAACAAGTACTCACTGGCATAGGGAAGGACTTCTTAAACAATATCCAGAAGCATAAACCATTTAAGACAAAACTGACTAAGAACACCATCAGATTAAACATTCTTTGGAACACAATTAAGGAAACTGGAGTGGTACATGCCTGTGACTGCAGCATCCAGGGGAGCTCAGGCAGGAGGATACCAAACTCTAGCCCAGCCTGGGCAACTCAGAGACTCTGTCTCAAAATTTTAAAATTGTTAAAAAGGACTGGGAATATAGCTCAGTGAGGAAGGCAGGGCATAGCTGTAGCTGCCTGGAAAAGGAGGTGTGACAAGACCCCAACCCAGGCACAGAACAGTCCCCGAAGTCCTGCACATGGACTTTCTCTGAGGACTCCAGCGGGTTCTCAATATGATGGCCTAGACCTGACGCCGGCCTGAGAAGTCCGTGATATAAAAGACAGGCTACACCACGTGTTTGCCCCTGTGTTCTCTGTGTGCTAGCTGCCCTCACGCTGCAAATAGGACTTCTTCTCCTACTTTCACTTGGCCCAAATTTGCTCTGGAAACCCTGTTTCTTCTCTTATTTTCAGTAAAACTTTGCTGCCATTTGTGGTTATGTTGACCAATTCTTTTCACATGTTATAAAGAACCTAGAAACCACGTCTAAGCAGAAACACCAGCACTCCAGAAACTGGTAACAGGAAGGCCCTGGGTTCCAATCCCCAGCACCACAAAACATAAACAAACAAGAAGCCAAAAAGGCTACAGGACACAAAACAGACAAGTGATAAAGGGCTTATACTTGTATCGTTTAAAGAGCACTTAGGACTTCTTAAAAGAAACATAAGTAACCCAGTTTAAAATTTGCGCCAAAGATTTGAACAAACACTTTACAGAAGTGACAGGAAGGGCCAAGTAAGCGTATGAAGTTTTGCTCAAATTACTAGACATCAGCGACATGCAAATTCAGAATGACAATACCAACTGTGGCAACAGACTAAGTACTCTATGTAGACGAAGTTATAGAAAAGACAAGACCACTGTGACACAAGGCAGACAAATGCCTGCCACAAACCAGGGGAGGGGGTGGGCTTTGCCTCCAAAGGGGTTCAAAGGAACTTCCAAGGTGAGAGGACTTTTTACACGGTGCTTTTGATGTTGGTTACACAGCTATGCACTAATCCAAATTCTCAGACTCAGCACATAGAATTTATGAAGCAGGCAAAAATGTTTCTGCAAGTTCCACGGGAACCTGAGAAGAAATACGCAGTTGCTAATTGTAAAGTACAAACTGCACACATCGGGTTATTGATAAATACAACTTCTCTGTCTTGACTACTCAACCCAACAAGGTTTTAAGGAACTATCCTGTTTATGGAGGAAAACAGGCAACATCGTGGGCTGCCTACAATGTGGAAGGCCGGTTGCAAACTAGAGAAAATGGAAACGTTACAGAGCAGGAAGTTTCCACATCATTTCCTAATTCCTCACAAATATTTAAAACAAAAGAAGCTACCACTCAAAAGCTGAAAAAAAAAAGAAGAGGGGAAAAAAAGAAAAGGGAAAAGGCAAATGAAAGGGCAAGAGAAAAAAAGGAAGTGAACGAAAAAAGAGAAAAGTAGAGCAAAAATAATAATTTAAAAAGTAGAGAAAAGAAGAAAATAAAAGGAAAAGGGAAAGAAAAAAAAAAGACAAGGCGTAACCTTCCACACACATTCCCACACCCGGAACACCAGACCAGGCAGCTTCTCGCATTCAAGCCCCAGCAGCAGACACAGGAAACTGCCCGGCCCGGTGTCCGGAACTCGGGTCCGGCCGGAAGCAGGCGCCGCCGGCCCAGGGTTCCGGGTTCTGGTCCGCTCACCTCGGTGGCGCCGTCCTTGAAGCCCTCGCTGTAGGTGCTGTCGGGTGTGCTGCGCTGGTCGTCCTTCAGGTAGGCGCCGTGCGCAGCCAGCGCGGGGAGGTCGTACTGCGCCTGCTCAAAGATGACCACGCGCTGGTCGTCACCGTCCCCGCGTGGGTAGTGGCCGGGCGGCGCCATGAAGACAGGCGTGAAATCCTCAGCCTTGACCACAGCGATGCCAGACACCGGGATGACGGCGGCGCCCTCGGCCGCGAAAGGCTCGCGCTTGCTGTCCACAGGCTCCTGGCTGAGGCTCAGGTTCACGGGCACCGTCTTTAGCACCTGCACGCGGCTCTCCACGCCCGCACCGCCCACAGGCTCGCTGGCGCCCACGCAGCCCCTGCGGTAGAGAGCGGAAGAACCCCGTTGCCATCGCGCAGGCGCAGTGGAGAGGGGGCCGCGTGGTGGGGGCGAGCCACGGCTCAGAGCTTGAGAGCTAGTAAAGGAGCAGAGGAAAGCAGTGCGCTTGCGCGGAAGGGAAGGGGACCGGAAGGTGGGGGCCACAGAGTGTATATGTGGAGTACACGTGGTGCCAGGTCTTCAAGGAGTGCAAACATGCCCCAAGAAAAAATAGAAACTGAGGAAAGATTGCCAATGTGGCAGGTGCCGTGGCCGGTGGCAGAGGGACTGGACCGGAGCACCGTGGATGTCTGCATCCCTGGAAGGAAGAGGACCTATGGTGTGAGCAGATTGTGCAGGGCTGTGAGTCATTAACCAAAACAGACAAAAAGCAAACAGCGAGGGAGCGCTGACCTTACTCATGCCTTTCATGCTTTTAGAGCTGGGTTGCAGCTCTCAGATAGAGGGGCCAGGAGAGCAACCTAACCATCCACACAGCGGGCAAAGCAGAAGTTAGCACACCTTGCCTGCATCTGTCATGTCCAGACACAGAATGGAGGGAGGATGGGGACGCTTAGAGATGAAAAGGAACTGAAAATCATAACTATCAGATACGATGCGCACATGTTGTTTGGATCCAGATTGGAGCAAAGTGAAGAGGGCTGTGTGAAGTGAGGATTTTTGAGATAATTGAATGTGAACCGGAATCAGGTGGCCTGAAGGAGTGAGTCATTGAGTTGTGTGATGATGATTTTGAGCTTATGGAGTAAAATATGCTTATTTGTTTTAAGAGACACAAATCAGATCTTAGAAGTAAAATGATATATCAGGATTTTTTAAAAGGAAGGAATGAGGAAAATGGTAGATATCGAGGAAGTGTGACAAAAATTTCTTTGCTGAACTGGAGAAAGGTGTTCAAGGCATTCAATATACTACACGTCCACTTCCATATATGGTTGAAAACTCAGAAGTTTTAAAATACTAAGAAAGAAAAGAGAGGGATAAATGTGATTTGTAGGGGTGATAGGATTTGTTTTTTATTTACCATTTTGTAGGCTAAGTTCCTTAAAGGAAAAAATAAAAAACATTTTCTTCAGATCAAGAGGTAACATAAGCTCAGAGATTTCCCTAGCTGTGAATTATTTTTGGGTCTCAGGGAAGTAGTGTAACTGCGCTTATGTATTATAAGACCCCTTACCTGACCACTGGCACAGAAACACAGAGGCAGTGTTAGACAGAGATTTCTTGGCAGACTAAAGTGAAATACTTTCATTAATACTAAAGAATTTTAGGAGAAAACAGAAGCTAGGTGAAACATGTTAGTAGATGATTACTGTTGATAGAAAAATGATTTCACTAGTAAAGTCCCTCTGGTCAGTAAAGGGAGAACACTTACCATTTATGGATTATTCTGAATAATGTGGAGAGAACACACATGTTTTTTATGATCTCTGTCTCAGATATCTGGAATTGGATTTTTCTTTCTTTTTTTAATCTAGCATGTAGTTTAATTCCTTCCACAATGCTGGTCGCAGACAAAACCAAATTTTTTCCATAAGGTCAACATTGGATCTACCCATTACATGTCATGTGGTTCTTGTTCAATTCAATTTGTAACCAGAATCATGAAAAGAAAGAAATTTGTGAACCGAGGTACCACTGTACTTACTGAAACCAATTGAGAGAAATACTTCAGTGAGACTGGGTCTTCCAAGAATTAAACTTTCCTGACACCCTTCTTGGCTATCATGCATGGCTTGTTTTTGTTTTTGTTTTTTCAGCTTTGATTTTCTGGATAAATTTTAGAGCAAAGAATGGCCCCACGTGATTAGGAAAATATCTAAATGCCTTTGAGTCTGTCATAGACCTGTAGAGATACTTTTAGAAAATAATCTTCAAAGGCATAAAAACACAAGTCTACAAACATTTTGGGGTTAAGCAACAAACTGGCTTCATAGTCAAGTCAGTAAAGCGAATCATTTATTAAGCACAGTAGAGACTTAAGAAATTGTGTTTAATCTGAATCCAGTTAGTTGGATGATGCCAAAGCTCAGACCACCCATTTACCTCAGCATTTCTTAAACCCCATTGTTTAGAAGGCTGCATGGAATGTTAATAGATGTTCCTTTTAAAAAAGGATTCCATGATAAAAATCAGTGTTAAAAGAGAAACAAAAAAATACATTTATTGCCATAACAAGACCACCCCGGGTGACCCCTAGGCATTTCTTCACCTCTTTAATTGTAACCTCAATTTCCCTCATTTCACTCTTTTGTGGAGGTGACAATCCTAAAATGTGTGGCTAGCGTCCTGCAGCTTGTGGGTGTGAATGATTCACGGGCTGCAACCAGAGCTGCTGCAAACTTTCAACTCTGCATTTTGTCCAGGTGGCATTGGTTTTGCCCAAAATAGTCAAACTCCACCAGAGTCCATTTGCAGTCACATTTCTTAATGCAACAAAAGTCACAATATCTTTAGGCGTCCTTATTAACAAATAAGCACACTATGGACTTGTATAACTCTAGTCAAATCATGACTACCAGCGCATAATAGGTTCAGGCACCACAGCACAGTGTGTACCTCTGCCTGTGCAATCACATTAGCTTTGGAAGCGGATGCCAGAAAATGTCAGAAAAGCATCCAGAAAGCAAGCAGCTAGAACAAAGAGTTACTGGGTAGGATTGATTTACCTGCAGTAGAACTTAAAATTGAACCAAATACTAAATGAAAAGGTGCCACCCAAAGAATGCTGCACTAAATACACATTTTTTAAAAACTTGGATCATGTCATTGAAAGCCTGTTATTTTTCCAAGTAGCAGCTTCTGTATACAAATGGTTGTAATGATATCGTGTTAGCACTCAGCATCTTAATTCACGAATGCAATGCAGATCAAAAGGACATCCTTCCAAATTACATTCAGTGAGAAGCCTACTAAGGCATAATTAGTCTGTACAAGGTGCTTTATTGCCAGGTTTTTAAAAATGTGATTCCTGGAAATCACAAAGGTAACCATTAAAATACAACAAACAGCTAGCTGTTGCTCGGTAATGTTGTTTTAAATGACGCTTTAATAGCTAAGAGGTTTTTTCTTGTCTGTGAGACAGACAGCAAGCACACAGCCTAGATTCATTTTGCCCAGACTCAATTCTGATTATTGGTCTAGGATCAGCAGCCACTTGCACCATTATTAGCTCAGCACTGTCCGCTACGTGGAGGAGACGTCACTAGACCTGAAGAGTTTCAGCCCCTACTCCAAGTTACTGCTCTGGCCAGTGAAGTCCCAGCAGGCCTAGCGCAGAGCTTCAAAAAAGCCCCCAGTACAACAGCGAATGAGATCCGGACGGCTGTAATTTTCCACTGGACTCTGCCTATGAGGGGCTGCACTGGCCCAGGGGGAGGAAAGGGAGTGGCCTGCTGTCAGGCACAGGAGAGCAGTGGCCATCAAGACCAGGAAGAGTCTGCCCTCTGTGCTAGCAGGGGATTGTGTTTATCCTGGCTTCATATTTGCATGTGAAAGAATCTACAGCAGAAAACCCTTGTGATTTCCCTCACCACCCCACTGCAGGGAAAGATTTATCCCAGGGGTCACCTTGGAGCAAGGAGCTGAGCAGGGTGATCGGTTACTTCTAATCTTGTTTGGATCACGCTGGCCCAAGAGAAAAGATCCTCCAGTCACCCTTGCCACACCACCAGTGGCCTAGTCTCATGCCTAGAGCTGGGTGGCTGGGGTTACCTAAATCAGGATCCAAGGATTAGGATTACAAGTTACAGCTTTAAAACTGGCTTGATGTTAAATAAAGCTCTTTTTTTCCTCTTTGATTTCAGTTTATCTTTATTCAGCAGAGCAGGAAAACGGGATGGCAGGCCTTGCTGTCCCTGTTCTTGGGCCTCCCCAGCTACCTCCTTCCTCTGAGAAACCTACCACCAGGCCCCTCCTGCATCCAGAGCCCTCCTCTCCTCCTCCTCCATCCAGAGCCCTCTTCCCCACTCTTCATCCAGAGCCTTCCTCTTCTTCCTCCCCATCCAGAGCCCTCCGCTCCCTCCTCCTCCATCCATAGCCCTCCTCGGTTAAGAATCCCCCTTTCTCTCTTTCATCAAGAGCCCTCCCTCTGGTGTCTGACTCCTCTGGAGCCCAACTGCAGTGACAGAGCAGTGGGACTGATAAGAAAAGTTAGGCAATTGCCTAAATTCCTGGGACTTTAGAACTCCACAGTAGGGCATCTGAAGAGTTTGCCCTGAGCCCTTGCTGAACTAAAACGCTACTTACTGTCATTGGTGCGACTCCAGAGACAAAGGAGGCAAAGCTGTGGGACCTCAGCTCCTTCCAGGAGCAAAATCCCCAGTTTCACAGCACTGTTCTCACAAGCCATGCAGAGGGAGCGCATCTTACCTTTTATCCTGGTCTTCTTGGCTCTCGCTTGCTTTGCTTACAGACAGCAGCCTCTTGTCTCGAGGAACCTGGAAACACACCAGTCATCAGTTGGACTCAGAGAGCAGGCAGGGTGAGCATGTGCAGAGCCGGATGCCGCCGTAAGCACGGAATGAAAATGGAATGATCTCCAGGGAGAAGAGCTGCATTTGTGAATGTCGAGATGGTTAAACACAAAAGTGGCCGTGCAGCCAGAGACTGAAAGGCGGTGACACACATACGAGAGCATCACAAGGAGAAATAACCGAGTTGACCAAAGCCACTCTTGCTGGCCCTGACGCTGCTATGCTGTCCTCACCTTGGGAGTGGACATGGAGTGGACCTGAATTTGGGTACCTTTGAGCCAACAACATCACAAATGATGAGTGTCCTTTAAGGGGACGGGGACTGGTCGTCCTGTCTGCTGAGGTGGGGACAGGAAATTGGGAAGGAGTATCAGCCAGGGGAGACATAAACGGCCAAGAAACCCAAGCCCCCCTTTAGCCAGCCTTGCTCCCCGCCGTGGGCTTGCTCCTCTGTGTGTTTCACTGCCACCTCAGCCGTCATCTTCATCGTCCCCGAAACCTCCCTGAGATGTGCCTGGGAGGGGGACATCGTCCCGGCACCCCCCACACCTCTGCATCATGCTCACTGGGCAGGGTGCCCAAGTACATCAATAGGTAGGCTTGGGTTGGCTTGGTTGGATTTTTTTGTTTATTTTTAATTTTTTGCTAAATCTCTGGGTCTTCCTGTTAAGATGAAAGCACATTTGTGAGAAGGTCCCTCATCTGGATTCTTTGAGCAGTTCCTGTGGCTTCCACTTGACTGAATATGGATTCAAGCAGAGACCACTGGACAGGAGGACCACAAAGGAAGTGGCCAGGAGCCAAGCCCTGGACCCTGACTACCTGCGTTTGACTTAGCTACCACTGACTCTACGCCTCCCCACTTCCCTGGCTATAAACAGGCTTAACGCTGCGCAGGGCCATCACTTGTAAAGTAAGTTAGACTGTAAAGCACTTAGCCTGTGTGGCACCTTCTGTGGTAGACAGGAGGAAGGCAATGATGAGCCCTCCAGGTGTGGGTCAGTTCTGAGAGTCTGGGGTGCAGCAGGCATTGCTGAGTTCCGGGTGGAAGCGACTGAGTAAAGGCCATTCCTGTCGTGCACTGGACTGGACAGTTACCGTAGTTTCAGTATCCAGCGCACCAGTGTTCATTCCAGCCCCACTCTCAAGGGCCCAAAGGAGGAAATCACCCGGCCGGCCGTCATCGGAAGAGTGGACACGTGACATGTCGAATGTCCACGCAAGGGAGTACTACTGACCCTTAAGAGGGAATGAAACCCTGACACGTGCCTTAGTAGGAAGACACAAGTAGGTAAAACAAGCCAGATACAAGAGGACAAACGTACGAGGTGCCCAGAGAGTCAGATTCTGAGCCACAGAAGGAATGAGAGGCGGGGAGTCGGTGCCGAGCGGACGGGTTCTGGTGTGGGAAGAGGAGCGTTCTGGAGAAGGCGGCCGTGATGCTGCACTGCAGTGTGAGTGTGCACCTCACATCACGGAACTGTGCCCTGCGAAGTGGCTGAAGTGACACGTGTGTAGGAAGTTCATTCTTCACGAGGGGAAAGTAGCGCTTACAGGAAAGAGCCCATGTCCCCAGCTTTGTGCCCCAGTTTGTCACACAGCCTGCCCGGCACTCCTGGGCCACCCTTTAACGGCCTCGCCCTGGGCTGCTGTCCAGACCCACAGTTACTCCTGAGAGCGTCACAAAGACTCAGCCCACAGTGACTGGCCGGCAGACCGAGGCAGGGACAGGGCTAGGGCTAGGGCTAGGGCTAGGGTCAGTCCCTGCCAATCCATTTCCGGATGGCCAGGTGGTCTTAAGAATGCAACTCTGACCTCATGCTGCTGCTTAAAACCCCTCGCGTGGCCCCGGGAAGCACAGTGTCTGTAACCGAGCATGGCTCCTTCCACAGGGGCCCTTGCCTAACTCAGCCCCCGCCTGCGCCCATTCTGCACGTTACCCAGGGCCGTCCTCAGGACTCTTTTAGATTGCTGTGTCCACGAGGATCCACACGTCGACCCTGTGCATAGTTCGTCCCCAGTACCCAAAATGCAGTGGGCCCTCAATGAGTCCTGGAAGAATGAATCCACCCATCAAGACAGCCTGCAACTGGGAGACTAAAGGAGGAGGAGAAGGGATCCTGAACACCAGAACACTTTGGCAACTCCCAAAGCTGCTCGGGAGCAGAGTTACTGCTGCCAAAGCCCTGGTGTGAACTCAGAGCACTGTAAAGCAGTTCCTAACTTTTGGGTTTTCTTCCACCCAGGCCTCTCCGAGCCAGGCTTCCCTCTGCCTTTGTAGACTAACTCGTGTTCAGAGAAATGGAGACTTTTGTGAACTCAGTACCTTCTCCTAGACCCACATCACTGTCACCTCTGCCCCGATACCCTACAGCACATCAAACTCGGCCCAGCATTGTCCGCCTCCCCAGAGTCTCTCTTCTCTTGTCCCCATCTGGATCAGCTGAGAAGCAGCTAAGGACACCTGGCTCTTAGTTGTGATCTCTCTCGGCCAGTACACACATGCACACGCGTGTGCACACATAACCAGTTTTCACTCAAATAAGTACCCATTTCTCAAGCTTGTTTCTTCGTCTCTGTGTGCTGCTTGTTTCTGGCTGATTTAGGGAGAAGCTTCATGAATGCTTCCCCCACCTTTCCTTCCCCCACCTTTCGGCACGTTTTACCCAGACTGCTGCTCAGCGAATAGGCCCTCAGCCCTCAGCCCACCTCTGCTGCTGCGGCTCTAATCTGTGTGGGTAATTTCTCCCACTGAGGAAGCCTAAGACCCAAGTTCTTCAGTAAAGGAAAGTATGAAGAAAAAAAATAATGATGGTAAGAGGAAGCCCACGGGCTCCGCAGAAGCTGCCAGTCGGTGTGTTGCTCCCAAACACACCCTTTCACAGCACTTACCTGCAGGCCTTGTGATTACAGCTTTATGGGACCTGTTCATCCCGGACTATGACTCTGAATTTTCTGAGGTGCTGCAATGTGCCTTTGGATACCCAAGCCACCCCATGGATACCCAAGCCCACCACCATTGCTGAAAAATCAGAGCTAACGAATGAGTATCTGTTGAGTGGATGGACAGATAACCCCAAAACTGCTTTCAACAGTATCAGGTCAGCAGAAGAGAGAGGAACCCATTGACAGGAGAAACACACTTTCATTAGGGCTAGAACCAGATGATTTATAGACCACAAGCTCTCTCAAGGCAAAATAAACAAACAAACAAAAAACCAAGTAGGATTAAATGGGCTGCTGTGGTTTGAATGTATCTCACCCAGAAGTTCCCACGCTGGAAACTTACTCTTCAGATGCATGCTAGTGGCATTTGGAGGCAGAGCCCTTGGGAAGCAGTCAGGATCAGATGAGTCCTGGGGCTGGGACCTGCTGACTGCATTAATGACCACGAGAGGAAGAGAGACCTGATCTATGTGATGTCCTTTACCACGCCATGGTGGAGTCAGGGGCCTGCGCTGATGCAACTACGGTGGGAACTCGGCTCACAAACTTGGTTCATTCCAGACGGCTGTGTTTGTGCTCATCACCCGATGCCAAGTTTGTGAATGGAAGCAAACTTTTACCAATTACTTCTGTTGCAAACTAAATTGTAAACAGAGTAATTTGTGAACTGAGGTACCACTGTGCCCTACCATGCTATGAGATCTCCCAGCTTGTTGAATCATGAGCTAAACAAACCACTATGCATTATAAATTACCACACTGTGGCATCCAGGTATAGCAACTGAAACAGGCTGAGACGTAATTACATTAAATTACTTTTTGAATATGTAACCGATGGGGCTGGGGATTTAGCTCAGCGGCATAAGCACTTGCTTTGCAAGTGTGTGGTCATGAGTTCGATCCCTGGTACCGATAAAAAAGAAAAATACAAAAAAAAAAAAAGTTTTAAATATGTAACCGATTAAACCTGGCACACTGTTCTATCATGTGCAGAATTCTTGGGAAGGTCACACTTTGGAATTGCCATTGGTAGGTAACCTCAGCTAAACAGAACTGTGCTAGCATGTGAGCCTGCAAATTATCAGAAAATCTACAAATGTGTCTTTTTAAAATAACTGTCATGTAATTAGCAAACAACACATTAAGCTTGACCTGCACATTTTAAAAACCTAAACCTTTTTCAAATGGGCTCAAATAAGAATGTTTTTAAAAATAGGTACTGCAGTGAAAGGGCTATTAGGAAATAGGTTTGTCCCACAAAAGCCCTTTTGGTTGCCTGAACTATAAACTATAAAACATGACAGAGTTTTACGATCTCACGGTGACACAGTTTAAAATGCAGGTGAAAAGACTTGGAGGTCTATAAAGAGCCCTGCGAAGGTGTGCCTTGGTTAGTTTGGAAGGACAAGGGCCAGCATCCTACCTCCTCCCACAGCAGCACACTGAGATCCCTTCACAGTAGACAAATACCAACCACAGACGTGAGAAAAGATGCTGCCTGTGATGAAAAGGATCAATTAACACTTCCAAAGAGGTATGACAAGTCTGTTCAGTGTAAATCATAATATAACAGCCACTGTTACAGTAACTTCCAGGAAGTTTGGACTCAAAAAAGAAAAACTGTTCTTTTATACAACATGTCACTTTGCTCTAGAAAAAAGATCCACACAGGGCATCCGATGTCATTAGAAACCTCACCCCAGTATACGGGACTTATGAATGCCAAGAGTGGCAAAGGCCTCAAAATAATCATTTGATCACAGTCCTTTTGGAAACACCAGCTTTTCACATAGGCACTCAAGTGTTTAAAACAACAACAACAAAAAAAGCCAGCAATTCGTTAAAAGGAGTCATTTAACTCTGCTAGTCCTGGAATTAACTTCACAGAAAGACCCGTAGGCTTAGCCACAGTTCAGATTGTATATAAAATCCCTACCTTACATCTTGAAGTATTTACAGAATATGGTATTTCAGCATTCCTTGGCACAGTAGCAAAGTGCCAGAGGAGAAGTAACAGAGGTGCCATATCTCTTAATACTTCCTGTTTACTAACAATTATCCTCTGAAACTAGGCGAGACAAACACATTGCTTTTGTAAATTACTAGTTAATTTTGTTTGAGATTAGTTTTTTCCTAATCAAAACAATGTCATCATTTAAAGGTATCTGAAATTGTTCATTTCACAATGCCATAATAACATCTATTTTTAATAAGATAAATATATTCCTTCTAAAGATATCTATATGTCTCTTTAAAGCCTAATTAAAATTATTAACTGACTTGTTAATTTAACATAAAATTCAGGTGAAGAAGCAGTGATGAGTGATGATTAAATCAGGGTCACTTTATGATATGTTAATAGATTTTAAAAATTGATAAAACTGACAGCTTTTAGGGCTGGGGATATGGCTCAGCGGCTTAAGTGTCTGCCTAGCAAACACAAGGTCCTGAGTTCAAGTCCCAGTACCAAAAAAAAACCATACTGACAGCTTTTGATTATTTTTATCTCATCAAGGAAACTGACTTCATTTCTTTCTAAAGAGAAGACCATAAAAAGCTAAGCCTGGAGAAATGGCCCAAGACACAAGTCTGTCCAACCTGTGAACTCTGTTCTGTGCCATCCGCAGTGAGTTTGAAAATGTTTGCCCCAAAACATTTAGGACTTTTTTTGGTTTTTCAAATGAGATCCTCAGCTGGAAAGGATTTACAATATAAGCAACCGCCCACCAACAGGAAAGAAGAAGCGCCTGCCCCGAAACTCCGAGGTTCATGCTTGTTTTTTCAGGTGCAAGTTCGTCCTTCCCCACGGTGAAATGTCACCCTGGCCCTAAAGCCCCTTCCATTTAGAGCTGTCACTCTCCGGAGCTCAAGTCCCTTCTTGCTGCGTCAGGAGTCATGTTAGAATTTCTACATCTTTGTCAACGTGCTGTCAACCCTTGCCGGCTCTGGCTGTCCAGATGGGGCGGAAATCAGCCTCGCCAGCTAGGGCACAAAACACCATTCATGGCGTTCACCAACCCTTCCCAGCGACACACGATGTGTTCATTCAAACTCATAACAAACATTCTCACTTAAAATACCCTGGATGGGCTCCCTGTTCTCCTCCGCCTGCCAATCCCAGCTCGCTCCTCGTCTTTGCTAAGGCAATAGGAAGCAGTCATTCAAGGAGAAATTGGTTTCTCGGTGGTTTTGCGCAGTGCTGATTTTTCCATGATGGAAGGGGAGGAGAGGGGAGATTCGGTGCTCATTGATACCACAATAAGACTACCGGGGCCCGCCTGGCAACCCCGGCACCCTGGCCCTCGTGCCAAGGCCTAGCACAAGGCAAAGGAACTCACCACCAAAGCAAGGCATCATCTCCTCCCACGGATATGTGTGATTCGGTCCACGTCAGCAGTTCTAGGAGAGCGTGTCGTGCCCAGCACAGCCCTTTCTCCGTGAGACAGACATGTTTCTTGTTCCATTCCCTACAATACTCTCATTTTGTAAGTGCTGCATGGCAGGTTTGTTTCTTTTTTCCCCTAACATTACATTCATGCTACTTTAGGGTTTTTCAAAACAACCCTAAACAACCTTGGAACGGTGGAGACTGCAAAGGTTGGAGCCGCCTCAAGCCCTCTACTCACCACACATGGACTAGTCCTCACACAACCGAGAACCCAAGCAAATGGAAAGATTGGAGGCCAACTAAACACCCAGCAAGTAAGCAACAGCTAAGTTATGGTCCAGCCACACCTAAGGTCAATGGTAAAATCAGAAGTGACATCAGGGAAGCACTGGCATTAGGAGGTTTCAGTAAGATTTACGTGTAAATAATGCTTATGCGTGGGGACAAAGGACACAGAAAACAATCATCCCCCAACCAAAGCTTCCCTTGGGAGAGCACGAAGCAGGGCTTCCAGGCGCAGCGGGAAGACGGGGAGACGGGCCGAGGGGCGGGACCCACCTTGTAGTAGTCGTAGAGCAGGCCAAGGGCGGCAGCACTGTCCTCGTCTCCGTTGATGCTCATCATGGCCTTGGTGGCCGCCGTCAGAGGGTTCTCCAAGTAGGACTTCCAGGCTTCATCCTCGCTGGTGTACGCCCTTCGGGTGTTGAACGGAGGGTCGCTGGGCATCGGCACTAAGGCCACGAGTCTTTTATTGCTGTGAAAGTGAGAGCACCATGAGGGTTACTTTCAGGACACTTTCCTCCCCCACAAACCTATACTTTATGAAGCTGAGAGCGGGAAGGCACAGCTGTGAGCACTTTGGAGGCCGAGGCAGGAGGATGGGAATGCGCTGGCCCCCAGGCTCAGATGTATAGAAGGTTCAAGGCCAGCGTGAACTGCACGGCGAGGTCCTGTCTCAAGACGAACAAAACACCCACACTTTATCTGGCTCCAAACACTGATTTGTAAGTTCCCATAATAAGGGAACAGGAAGGGGAAATTAAAAATTAAAGAGACTGTCATGGTGCACTTACGAAGCCGCTGATCTGTTTTTGTGCTGTCTGAAAAATTAGAAATATTTTAAAAGTAATGTAAGTAGCATGCATTGGTCCCTTTAAAACTAGAAAACTTCTGGCTCTAATCATTCCACACAATTTTATTATTCTTCACTGGTAATACTAGAGCAGAACCTGAGAGAGGTTTCATTTAACTGAAATCTAAGTAAATACATAACATTAAATGTAATCAATGTTAATTATTAAAATTGTAGTTGTCTTGTACTTGAAAGTACTAGCGAATTATGGAGCAATCTGAATCTCTTACATATTTATTTTAGGTTTTGAGGTGGGGTCTCATGATGCAATTCAGTCTGACCTTGGACTCACTTTGTGGTCCAGGCTGGCCTCCAACTCGCAGCAGTCCTCCTGCCTCAGCCTCCCAAGTGTGCCACCTTGCCCAGCTAAGTCTGTTAATTTAAATGTAAACTACTTGGCGAACACAACGTATCACATACAGGTAATTCTGCACCATAAGGCTGTGGAGCAAGAGCGATTAGATAGACCCTGAACTCTCTCTGCATTGTGGGGCTCAGCCTCTGCCTAGACCACAGAGAAGCTCCAGGCCCCGGAGCTCCCGTGGAGAAAGCACATCTGGATAGCTTTTAGGATGGACAGACAGGGCCTGTGTAAAGTGGCACAGGACTCGGAAGGCCATGCCGTCACATGGTAATGACTGACACACCCAGGGACCACACAGTCACCACGAGGTCCAGGAAAAGAACCCAGCGAAGCTTCCCCACACATTTCCCTAGCCTTTTGCTCAGTCAGTGAAATGGAACCAAGCTCCTTGATGAGGTGCTGTGTTCCAGGAACACGGATGCCTACCACGAGATGCTGGGGAGCTCGGCCACCACACCCTCCTGAGGTGGTCCTGAAAGAGGTGCCTGCACACGCTCCTCTGGGAGGGAGCGTCCTGTGCGGCTGTGACCGCCCTGAGCCCTCAGGGAAGCCAGCGTCCAAGGCCTCGGGTGGGGTGGATGGAGCCATGCAGGCTGTGTGTGCAGAAATGCCCTGGTGCTGGTAGGATGTAGGTGCGCTGGGAAGACCACTCAGCAGAGTGCATCCCAGGCTGGACGGTCTTCAGGCCTCTGAGCTGAGGGCTTTGTGCCCGTGGTCTGGGGGAACTGATTAGGAGGAAAGAGAGAACACTGACCCAATTGCAAATGAACTGGACTGAAAGGGTGCAGTCAGGTCTTGGAGTAAATGAGAAAAGTCCTGATCAAAGGGCCCACTCTCCACTGGCAGAGAGGTGTCCCGTGGCAATGGCCTTGGCAGCGAGTCCCTGCCCGGTGTCCCGCTGCCGAGGGAGCTGCTTCAGTTCTGTCTTAGGTGGAGACAGCAATGCTGACCGTACTTTTCTCACCCTGTGTTTGTGGGGTCAAATGAAACAGAGTCCCCTAAAAGGCACGGCACCGTGAAAATAACAGGCACCCCCCACCGCACAGCTCTGTGTCCTGCGAGGTTGTATGTGGGTCCATTTTTGGCAAAGTTGCTCCCATTGAAAAGTGCCGAAGATAATCATTAACTAAAGGGAAACTGAAGTTGTTCACTTCACAGGGATCTGTAAGTGTTTACTGAGAGCCCAACAGGTGGCCCAGAGAGATTGAGGGGAGCTGAAGGAGACAGACACCGTCCCTGACCCGACATGGCCAGAGACAGAGCCACCCGCCACCCCGCACTACCTCCCACCCCGGCAGCGCTGGGAAGGCACAGGCAGGGCCTGCAGGGAGGGTTGCTGGGCAGTGCTGGGAAGGGAGAGCAGGAGGGTCTCTTAAAGGAAGCCTATCATTACAGGCTGGGGATTTAGCTCAGCGGTATAAGCACCTGCCTTGCAAGCAGGCGGTCATGAGTTCAATCCTCGGTACCGAAAAGAAAAAAAAAAAAAGGAAGCCTATTGTAGAAGTACAGACCAACAAAGGTTTCTTACAAAGGAGTACGCTTTTTATTCATTTCGGAGAGCCTGCTGGCAAGATTTATATATTTTAATCTAAAGGTAAAACAGCGTCTGCACATTGTGTTCGATTGCCAGTCACATCGGACAGGGCTGGATATGCAAAGGGGAAATGTTGGGGGCCTATAGGGATCCCCAGGCCAAAGAAATGAGGCCACTGGAGAGAAGCAGAGAAGAATAGGAGGCCCAGATTCTGATGGTGCCCCCTGCCAAGTTGACCCCCATAGTTGATTAGTTGGGGTCACCTTGATACTGGTCTACACCCTTCTAGAGTAGAATGGGATTCTGAACCCCAGTGGTTGCCCATTAGCCCCAGGTTATCATGGGAACTTAAAATGCCCAGTTCAGCAGAGGATCCAGGACTTAGGGGAAACCAGATTCAAGCTTCAAGGCATGCTTTCCACCAACCGGGTGTTGCTTCCGCCTCACCATAAAGACAAAAGATCCTATGTCTCACTTCCAGTAACTGAGGACCTAAAGGAGATGAGGTTCTGAGAAAAGTCCCTGCTGCTGGGAGAGTGGATATTAATTACACACTGACAAATTCCTAGGGGTTTAGCAGGAAGCCCACAGCCAAGTCTAGATTTCCACTGAGTGGGGTCCTGATTCGCTGGAGAGAGCGTTCCCCGGTCCTCCTTAGAATCTGTCCTCCCCTCTGCTGGGTCTGCTGGGTCTCCTGGACCACTGGCTGCCTCTGTTTCACCCACGAATCTAGGAAATCCATCAGCCTTTCCTTAAAGATACAACAATGGAGGAGTCTGCACACAGACACAGAAAGGGGTTCTGGGAAATGTCACTTTACTGCTTTTCACACTTCTGATGGCCCCATGGGGCTTTCCGTGCCCTCCCCTTTCATGATGCAACTGAATCGTGAAACTGGATATTTTCTTCACAGATTACGATCTCTCTGGTAGAGCACTGTTGAATGAAGTTTGGTTTAATATAAACAAAATAATCTTTCCGGTACACTGAACAGAAATGTAGACCTGAAGAGAAAGGAAAGTTTCAGAGAGCGGCTTTGCTGGAGTGCGGAACACTCTGGGAAGCTGTTCTATCACTGCTCATGGGAATGACGGTCTGCTTCCGCGTAGGTCCTTAGCTACAGCCTGTGTGGCCCTGAACATGGAACTGTGACCCTGGAGCCCTGATCCCTGGACCCTTCTTTGGAGAAACATGAGGATGATTACTTCAGAAGTCATGGCAGGGCTAACGCTGCATTAGATCTCACACACACACACACACACACACACACACACACACACACACACACATACATTTCTTTTTCCTTAAACTCATTTGTTTTCTTTGACCTAACAGCCCCGTTTTGTGGCAGTGGGGTGCACGGTTGGGAGATGAGTGTGAGCTCACACAGTGAAAGACACGGAGCACGCACAGGACTGGGACGTTGACCACTCGGTCAGCAGAGGCCGCAGGTCTCCTGGCCTCTCCCTGTCCCACTCTGAGCACTGATGTTGCACGCGTGGATCGCTTAGCTGGGCAGAGGGTAGGACACTCACTGCGTGGCTGCTCCACCCTCACACACAGGGGCCCCTGCTGTGCAGTGCTTCACCCTCTCTACTGTCCTCTGGACTGGGCCTTCAGCCCGACACCCTGTCCTTCAGCTGCCCTCTGCCTTCCACGTGGGAATTGCACGGAGCACAGGACACTCACGCTGCGTGCTCACCGCAGGATGTAAATCTTCCATAGCTGCATTACGATCCAAAGCTCTGCGACTCCCAAATTCTCCATCTGACCTGCAAGGCCCTCTGTTAATGGCCTCCGATTTACTTCTCAGCGTTTACTGTCCGGTGCTTGCTAATGTACAGAGCGGAGCTGTTTTCTCTGCTGTCCCTGAAGATTCCTGTCCCTCCCTCCCGGAGCTTTGCTGACTGCTCGCTCCCTGAAATCTCCTTCTTGCTTCTTTCTGACACTGCTTTTATCTCAGTCCAGCTGCAGAGTTCCAGCCTCCAAAAGATGGTCCAGAATCTCCCCTACTAGCCAGGCATGGTGGCGTGCGCCTGTAGTCCAGCTACTCGGGAGGCTGAGGTGGGAGGATCGCTCGAGCCCCGGAGTTCCGGGCTGTAGGGCAGTGCGCTATGTCAGTCAGGTATACGCACTAAGTTTGGCATCAATCTGGTGACCTCCCAGGTTGCCTGAAGAGGGGTGAACCAGCCCAGGTCAGAAACAGAGCAGGTTAAAACTCCAGTGCTGATCAAAATCTCCCCTGCTTTCAAAATTTCCATTTGCCAAGAAGAACTCCTACAGTATGCACATCACTGGTCACATAACCTACCATTTAATTTTTACCATGCAAAGGCTGTTGGCTGCGCAGAAGACAGTCAGCTGTGAGCCGACCCAGGACACCGAAACAGTGCCATCCCATGAAAGCCGACCCTAGCCACCCGCTCTGGGCCCACAGACTTGGGTTCCAGCCTGCCTGGCTTCCCTCTAAGAGCTGCAGGTTCCTCTTCCCAAGCTGGGCCTTTGGCTTCCTTCCAGAAAGGCCCACTTCCACCCCATGCCTGGGCCATAAGGAAGAGAAGCGCAAGATAACACAGGAAGCCGAACACTCGCCTCTACCCAGCGCCCCAGCGCCACCCCACCTCCCACCCGAGGCCGCCCACAGGCCTTGCTGGCTCTGCTGGTGACAGCTCCACTTTCCTCACTGCGTCCTGGTCAGCCGTGTTCTCTCTCTCTCTCTCACACTTCCCGAGAGAATCACATCAGCTCTTCCTCCTGCACAATAGCTGGGATTCTGACCGCTTCTCGCCACCGCCCTGCTTCTACCCTGGTCCAGGCTCTCCCCCTCCCTGGCGGGTGGTCGAATCTTCTCCACGGCGAGCAGCACCCTGTGGCCTCCTAGGTCCTCACCCCTCGGAGTCCTGTCCTACACCGCACCAGGACTGACCGTGGGCAGTGCACGGGCCGAAGTGAATGCATGGCACTTCTAGAGGAACTGAAGCCTTGGCAAACCCCAGTGAGAAACCCAGGGCTGCTGCCACCCATGGGTGGAACCCTTCTTGGTACTCCAGCCAGACACAAGGCTAACGTGAGTGACAGTCCTAGTGACAACCATACGGGAGACCTGGAGCCAGAAGCACTCAGGGAAGTCGCCCCGCCACAGCTCGCTCATAAATCTGAATTTTATACTTCTCAGTGTGAGAAAATGCTTCTCACCTGGCTGCCAAGTGTTGCGGCAATGTGTCACACAGCAGTGACAAACGCAGCCTCACACCCCTGAGAGAAGTCGCATCCCAACGCAAACCACCACACACCCAGTCCCTCAGGGGCTCCTGGTGAATCAGAGGGCTCAAGGAATCACCAACGTGCTCCCCGACCCCAGCCCACGAGGAGGGTGATGCAGGAGGGCTGCAAATTTGAGCCCAGCCCGGGAACCTTTGCAAGATACCATCTCAACATAAAATATTTTGAAAAGGGCTGGGGATGTAGCTCCGTGCCAACTTCCTGGGTTCAATCCCAGCACCTCAAAAAACAGAACTAAAAAGTAGGTGGGGCTTAACGTATTGAGAGCACAGGAGGAGCTGTGCTTTCCACAAACTGGCCCGCAGCGTGTGTGGACAGGCGTTGTCGGCTGACGGATGTGAACAAGCCTGAGGCCGGGTCGACCCGTCCTCCTTCCCTGCGGTCCTCTCTCCCGGGGCTCAGCCTGCCACTCCTGCGAGCTGTAGCCCAGGAGCCGCACAGGTTTACAGCAGGCCGGCAGCAGCGAGGAGCGGCCGACCTCGGCCAGGGTCGGGCACCCAGGGTTGCTTTGGTGTGCCTGCCGCCGTCATCCTCAGCACTGTCCTGCCTCGGGGAGAAACACTGCTACCCGGACGACGGTGGCAACGCTTTTATATAATTCTCAGCATTTCCTACCACCCACCGTGCCCAGGCTTCCTACCCCAGCCTGCACACAGCCTGTACCTCAGCCTCCTAAGTCTTCTGTTCTCCAGATGGTCCTCTTCAGCCCGTAAGATTTGGGCTCCCTCTACTTCAGTTTTCCGTAGCAGATCACTGACATGGAACTGCTTCCACCTGGCCAAAAACTGGCCCTATGCAGACCCCAAACTAAATGGCAAAATCACAAGAAGGGACACTTACTTTGTTCCTTTGGAATCTTGGTGTTTTCCCATTAACAGGATAAGATGTGCAATTGGGAACTGAAGAACCCATTACCCTAGCTAGAGCTCACGTCTCAATTTAAAAGCCAAAGGGTGTCAGGACTGGGTGCTCGGAGTAACAGCCGCCCTCCGGAGAAGGGGAGGCGTGTGCCACATTCGGACAAGGGCTGGGCTTCACTGGGAAGTGTCCACCCTCACTGCTGCACTTACTGGCTTCAGCTTTCTGCCTCTGACCTAACCGTGAGAGTCAGGGACACGAAATGAACCTGAGAGTCGGGTGCAGTGGAAATCTTCATGTTGGTGATGGCTGTATTCCAAGAGAGGACTCAATTCAAAGAAAATATTATGATGCCCTGTGCTAGAAAATGCATAGCCTTAAAAACAGTAGTTGTAAAATATAAGTTGTTTATGGAAGTTAAGAGAATTCCATGTCAGATACACTTGCTGTGAATTACTGCAATTTATGAACTGAAGTAGTCTCTCTCTCTCTCTCTCTCTCTCTCTCTCTCTCTCTCTCTCTCTTTTCCTAGCTTTGCTAATATCCTAAACTTGTACTTACTTTAAGAATAAGACTCAGGAGGCTGGGGATTTAGCTCAGTGGCATAAGCGCCTGCCTTGCAAGCAGGTGGTTGCGAGTTCAATCCCCGGTACCGATAAAAAGTTAAAAAAAAAAAAAAAAGAACAAGACTCAGTAGCTGCAGCAGAGGTATATCACCTCCTAGAAATAAATCATGAGGAGGAAGATACCATATGGAGTTGGAAGAAAAATAAAAAGAACTTTTCAATGAAAAGAACTGGTAGGCTGGTGACCTATGAAGTGACCGGAACTGGTTAGTGCGTACATGGGTAAATGAAGTCCGACACTGTCATGATCACAGGGGCCCATATGCCGGCTTCTTTCTCCCTTTTGTTTTTCCACGTCAGGCGGGTCAGGTGCTGGCACCACAGCAAGGCTTGAGGAGGGCTCACGTCACACCACGGCACACACCCCCAGTCGTCAGGCTCCTGGACCCAAGGCTCCTTTCTCCTCCTGCACTTTGCCATGCCACTCTAACAGGGACCCTCCACCTGGCAGGCGGTGTTCCGAGCACCTTAATGGATTGAACGGCACATTCCTGCAAATCACCTCCGTGTCACATGTGGTTTCCCTGCCTTTCTACATGTGAGGAAACCATTCTTCCCCTTGCGTGGAGCTGGGTAGTGGTTGGTGACGGCCTGGGCTCTACCCCAGAGAATGCAGTCATAAGCATCCTTTTCTCTTGCTGATTCTTGACAATATTTTTATAAGTAGAAAGAAAAGATTACTCCAAAAGGAGGCCTTAGGAATTAAATTGAATACAACAGACCGATATAACAGTGTTTTTACATAAAGACAATCAAGATGGTGTCCAAATTCAGAGCAATAAAGAAATTGTGGAAAGAAGCAAAATCTGTAAGCTCCCTGGAGAAAAAGATAATTTATTTGTAGAATTCCAAGGCCCTGGAATGTTCTAGAAGGAACATATCAGAGAGGCAACACACATTACCTAAGCAAATTACGTGAGGCGATGTGTAGACTCCTTATTCATCTTTAGTTTAGCATAACTGGGGTCACTTGGTTTTTTTTTTTTTTTTTTTTTTTTTGTCTTTTTCCTTTTTATCGGTACCGGGGATCGAACTCAGGACTGCCTGCTTGCAAGGCAGGTGCTTATGCCACTGAGCTAAATCCCCAGCCCAGGGCCACTTGTTTTTAAACATTGTTTGGAAAACTATTAACAAGTAATTCATGTAATAGAAATGCAAGTTAGAGAATGTAAACTGGGAGTGGGCAAATCCTGGAACTCAGGAAAGCTGAAGTAGGAGGATCAAAAGTTGAAGCCTAGCCTGGGTAACTTGGCAAGTTAGCCAAACCCAGCCTTGAAATAAAAAACAAAATGAAAGAGCTGGAGATCAGGGTCCTAGGTTCAATCCCCAGTAGCCACACACACGCACACACACACATATACACACATACACACATGCATCACACATATGCACATGTGCACACACAGTGGTGAGAAGCTGAGAAACAAGGGTGATGTTAAAAAGGAACCAGAGAGCTGGGCGTGGTGGCTCACACCTGTAATCCCAGCACTCGGGAGCCTGAGGCGGGAGGATCGTTTCGAGTTCAAGACCAGCCTGGGCTACAAAGTGAGCTCAAGGCCAGCCTGAACTGCATAGCCAGACCCAGTCTCAAAAAAAGACACACACTCACACACAAAGAGGAACCAGAAGTATGATTTTCAAAGGAAAAACATATTTTATAACCAAAGTAGCTTTCAAGTTTATAAAGAGAACTGTTTCCTGCTGAGGAACTTCTAATGCTCAGATCTCAGCAGCAGGAAAGGGGTTTGCAAGCCTGCAGAACAAGCTTCACTCCAGGACCCTCCCGTGCTCACCACCACTGTTTACAGGCAACAGGGAAGAGAGGGATTTTGGAGCAGTTCTAGAGGATAAAGAACAAAGATAGCAGGATAAAGGAGAAGCCTGAACCCGGAGTCTGCACTCTCCTCCAGTGCAGAAAGAGTTAATGCATAACTGGGGAGTTTCTTCCCCTCCGGCTCAAACATTGTACCCAGAGTCGGCAGGTCTGTGGGGTAAGGTGACTGGGCAAAACATCACTTCTTAGACGTAGAGGACTCTGGCTGGGAGGGGTCCCAGGGCCAGAAAGACACGTAAGTTGGTAAAATGCCTCACGTGGCTTCAAGCTGCCACAATGAGAAAAGAAAGCATTCAGTGGAACCAGACACGGCGGCCCAGCCCTGTAACCCGGCACCGGGGAGGCTGAGACAGAAGGATCTCCCACATCTGATGCCAGCCTGGGCTGCATAGTGAGACCCTATGCAGGGTCTCAAAAACAAAAGCATTTAAAAAGATAAAACAGCCTGTCAGTCCCCCACTGTCCCTTAGGGTCTCACTTGGGTACTGGCAGAAGGGACCTCCAGGTACTGCTGAGGTCTCCATTGGCAGGGGGAGGAAGGGGCCACTCTGCTAAAAGCCTGCCCACTTGGGGAGGTGCCCTTCTATCTCTTCATTTTAAAGGTGAGCGGTGAGACTCACCCGACTTAGGGAACCAGACAGGTGGGAAACAGGAGCCCAAGATGAACAAAACAGCTCATTTACCCATGAAATAACTAAAGTCGGACGTAGAAAATGTTCCTTAAAAACACAGCATCTACAAGGCCAGCTCGAGCTACTATAAAAGTTATTGCAAGATGCATACATATTTAAATAAAAATAAAATTCTATGTGAGGCCTGAATAGGAAAGCCAGCAGGTCCTAGACAAGCACTGGACCCCTGCATACACCCGCAACCCCACCCAGCTTTTGCCTTGTTTGTTTTAGTTTATTTTGCAGTAGCAAGAATTGAACCCAAAGCTTTAGCACTGAACCTTGTATATCCTGCATTCAGCATGGATTTTATTTTTATTTGATTTTTTTAAATTTTGAAACAACATCCAGTTAAATCACTAAGTTACCCAGGCTGGGCTCATGTTTGGGGTCCTCCCACCTCAGGCTTCCAGAGCCAGGATTCCAGGTGTGTGCCCCCACACCTGGCTCTAGTTCTGCTTTTTTGTGTATTGGACATTGGTCTGGATGTATGCTAGAAAAGTGTTACCATTGAGCTATATACCCCAAGCCCTTTTTAATTTTTACTTTGAGACTCGGTCTCTCTGAATTGTCCGGGTAACCTCGAACTTGGGAGGTTCCTGACTCAGCCTGCCTAGTAGCTGGGTATACACCACTAAGCCCAGCTTCTAGCCCAATTTTTAAACAAATAAGAAAGAAATCATGAGACAAGTTAAAAAGCTTACAGAATGGTTCAAGAGTATCATGTTCTACCAACAAGAGTCACCGAATAAGGCAGTGAAGGAGGTGGAAGGGGACAGATAACAGAGGAAAATGTCCTCCAGCTTTAGAAAAACTTGGGTTTTGAGACTCACAGAGCCTAAATTGCTGAAATCAGTAATAAAAAGAAACACATCAACCCACGTCCTGGTGAAATCTCTCCCTTAAGATTTAAATACAAAATGACACATACTTGAAACATAACTTTCAATAGAAAATGAAAGTCAGCAAATACACTTTTCTCTGTATCCCTAAATGCTGCAGGACAAAACAAAAGAAATTTGCACACAGAATTTTTGATAGAACCAAAGACCAACTCAGTGTAAAAGGAAAAAAGACACGCTTGATCATGAAAGGGTTTAAAAATTCCTCTGCTCTTCCGCTCCTTTTGGAAGAACTTTCCTTGATCCAAAGTGAAAAAGCATGCATCCATAGCAAAGAAAATCAGTGTGGTTACTAGGGAGGATCCAGCAAACCAGCAAAGTCTTAAATTAATTGTAACTAGTTTTCAGGTCACGGAAATAAAAGTTATGCCTGAAGAGTTCTTAAACATCATGATGCGCACAAATGAAATCTGTAAGAAGTGGTGGACGTGTGCCCGTGGTGAAGCTACGTGGATGGTTTTGCGTCTGTGCACATGATTCATTCCCAATATTGACAGAAAATATAAATTAAAAATCCAGTAGTGCAGCTGGTGGAATGAGGACAGGAGATTGATCGACAGCTCGCGGCACGGTGGCAGGCCCCCTGGAGGGGCTGAGGATATTTTCAGAGATAGCAGAGGAAAACATTACTGTCACGGTGACCCTGAGACGCGGGTGCCTTGTTCACGGTGACACTTGCCGTGATGGCGCCAGGCGGCTGGGCACAGTCATTCTGTGCCCTGCGGTGGCAGCATGCCGTATACTCAGCATTCAAAAGGCACAGCTGCAAGTTAAAGGGGCACCAAAGGCTGGCTTTGGGGACGTCATACTCCAGGCTGCCGGAGGTCCCCACGCAGCACTTGAGCTGTGTGGCTGGTAGTTGGCTGAGCTGCTGCCGAAGGCCTCAGGATTTGGGTTTTTTTTTTTCCAGAGAATTCCATTTCTATTCGACAGAACAACGCACCGACAACCTACATGCTCAGACTTGAGCATCTGGCTGACACCACCTCAAAACTAAACCCAGGGTGGGTCTCCCACTTGTAGGAAAGCAACCTCAACCCTTGTCACCAGTGAGAAAATCTAAACTTCAAAGCAAAATTTAGAATATTTGAAAACTCACATCCACCTCTGTTGACAGCTTCCTAATATTTAAAACATTTTCTCGTGAGGTTAATAGAGACATTGATGGAAGTGAACTTTTATTAATGTATCTGGAAGAATGTTAAAGATAGAGACCGTGCTAAATTAGTTCACCAATATTTACCAGTGTCAACACCTGATATTTAAAATCACACCCGGGTTAAAGAAGACCCATCCAAGCACAGCACAGTACAGAAGTCACTGTGATTTTGGTTCCCACACTGCAACTAGCCATTAAGAAATCACCTCTCGTCAAATTTAGGTACAGTATCAAAGAGTACTCACAATTATCTGAAAAAGCTATGAAATTTTTTTCTAACTGCAACTGTGAAGCAGCTCCTCTAAGCAAATGACACTTTGCAACAAATTAAAAGAAGCAGACACGAGAATCCAGTAGTAACCTGGTGAGCCAGCATTTCAAAAATTGCAGTAATGTAAATACAAAATAATGCCCCCCCGCCCAATTTTTTGTTTTGGAAATTTATTCTATTTTTTCATTTTAACTTGCAATGAGTTTGTAATTTTTTTAATAGAATCAGAAATAAAAATATTTAAATTTCTTTATAACTTCTAACGTGTTTGGTGATATAACCCACACGAACACAAACACAACTCTCTTCAAGGATTTGAGTGTTAAAACGGTTCTGAGAACAGTAAGTCCAAAAAGCACCACTCTAGAAAATCACTAAAGGAAGACAATGGGAAAAAGAAATACTAATCAGTGAAGTAAAAATAGAAATAATGATATTGTAGGAAAAAGGAATTTTACATTTGTGCAACTTGCGGTAAATGAAAATGTTTTAGCTCCACCTGTGAAAAATACTTTCAAACTGAATTTTACAGAAGAAACCAATGTTCTTTTGTGAGCA